CGCGGGGAGGTGCGCGGGGGCGACGACGGCGAGGGATTGGAGGGGGCGGCCGACGTTGAAGATGGAGAGCTCGCGAATTGGGACCAGGCGGCCGTGGGCCGCGTCCAGTTGGAGGAGCAGAAGTTCAAGGGGCGGCGACGCGACGAGGACGCAGCCGGCGACGCAGTCCATGGCGATGGGGACCTGCGGGGTTTGGAGGCGTGGATGTAAGTTCGCGAGTGGATGGGATTGGGTGGATGTGGTGTGTGTGTGTGTGTGTGGGTGTGCGGCAACCCGTGTGAAGGGGTTGGAGAGCGCAGTGCGCAGGCATGGTGCCGGTGATGGGACGAGGGTGAGTTGGACGGGCGGGGGGCATGCGTGACAAGGGGGAGGAGGGCGTGCGTCCGGCCGCCTGCAAGGGCCAGCGTGGGGCTGTCGGCCCTATGAGGTTGGGGCTTGAAGTTGATGGTTCTGGAATTGAGGATTGTCCCCTCTCACAAGGCAGGGGCTCGCTCGCCCTTGCAGGCGGTACGTTTAAGGAGGGCCGACAGAGCAGCGCCCTGGCCCGCGAAGAGCCCCGTCAAGCACCAGTCAAACACCGGTCAAACGGCGTTGAGACCGGTGTCAAATGGGGGTCAAGGTGACATCACCCACCCGCTTGAGGTCGTACGACGCCACCAGCGACCCAAAATCCAGGTGCCGCTTTGGGAACACGAGGATCTGGCACCCCGCCGCCTCCCCCTTCCCGTGCGCGACGCCCCCGGCGCCGCCGCCGCCGCCGCCCGCAGCGGCGGCGCCCCCGTTCCCGTTCGGCGTGCCGCCGCCGCCGCCGCCGCCGCCGCCGCGGTGGCCAGGGGGCGCCGCGCGCGCGAGCGCCCACTGGCTGGTGGCGGCGATGACTGGGTCTATGGAGGGCGCTGAGCATGCGACCACGTTGCCCCCAAGCCAGCCCAGGGCCACACACGAGACGCGGCGCTCCTGCGGGCGCCAAGAAAAGGGGGGTTTGCGCTCGCACAGTCAGCAAAGGTCATCGGGACGGTCGCGGCAAGGTTGCCATTGCACTGAGGAGAGCATTCCGCCCGCACGCACGGCGACCGCGCGGCGCAAGGAAAAAACGTGCGCCGGCGCCGGCGACGGCGCCCGCTGCAGCCGGCGGCGGCGGCGGCGGCACCGCGGGTCACCTGCGTGACGTCGCCGAACAGCCGCCACCGCTCCGCGTGCCGCCCGTACACCGCCAGCCCGCGCCGCCCCGACACCGCCACGTCGGCGCCGCTCGCGCTCGCCGCCGCGTGCACCAGCGGCCACCCCGCCGCCACGTAGCCGGCCGGCAGCGGCACGTGGAAGGCGGACAGGTCGTTCGCGGCGCCGCCGCCGCCGGCGCCGCCCGCGCCGCTGCCGCCGGGCTCGTCGGCGCCGGCCATTGAGGCGCGGAAGGCTGCGGGGCCGGAGGGCTGCCAGAGGGGGCGCGACAGCGGCTGGGCCTCGCTGATGAGCAGCAGGCGGTCTGCGGCCTGGGGGGGCGGCGGGAGCCGTTGTTTGGTTTGGTTTTTGCTGATTCCATCGCAACTGTTGTGTGTGTGTGAGCATTTCGTATGACCAAGTACGTAGGAATACAGGAGGAAGCTTGAGCGAGTGTGCATTTCCACCGCCATGGTGCGTCGAGCGACGGCGCCGTCGCAATCAAGGCCGCACCCGCGACCCCACCCACGCACCGCTGAAGCACGGCCGGCCCTGCCGCTGCTCGCCCCGGCGCCCCCGCCACAGGTCCCGCCTCTGTTTGCCCCTGCCCGACGACGCCCGTGTGACGTACTCCTGCACCCCCCTCACACACACACACACACACGAACACACACACGTACACACTAGCGGCCCCCGCGCCCCACCTGCAGCAGGTGCAGCTCCCCCCGCTGCTCGTCCACGTCAGCGCCCACCTGCGCCGCCCTGCAAGTCATGGCACGGTGGTGTTGGGGTTTATGTGGTTGTTGAGGTTGTTGTTGTGGTTGTTGAGGTTGTTGTTGTGGTTGTTGTTTTTGTTCGTGGTGGTGGTGGGGGGGTTGTGGTGGCGTCGATGGTGATGGTGATGGTGGCGGTGGCGCTGGCGGTGGTCGCCGGCGCCGACAGCTCTGCTTCTGCTGTTTGCTTCTTCCATGCTGGCCGCGCTGTGCATGCGGTGCCCGCATTTTATTGCGGGCGCGGCGCTCGTCGGGTTGGGCGCGGCTACTCCAGGCTGCCGGGGGCGGCGCAACGGGTTTCAGAGCAGCGCCGAGGTGCGCAGCTGGGCAGAGCCCGGGGCAACCCGCGCTCTGGTCGCTGCGACAGCACGACAGCGCCGCCCCCGCCCCCCCCCTATCACTCGTCCCACGCCCTGCTGAGAGCGCTGGGAGCGAGGGGCGCGGCGCGCTCGCACCTGTGGTTGCCGCCGAGGGACTTGGCAAACGCCACCTCCAGCAACTCGCTGCCCGCGCCCCCGCCCGCCGCGGGCGCCAGCAGCCGCGCCGCGCGCTCCGGCAGCCGCGCGCCGCCGCCATTGCCCCCGCCACCTGGCCCCGCGGGGCCGCCGCTGCCGGCCGCGGACGCGACCAGCAGGGCATACCCCAGCGTGCCCCACGCGAGCGCCTGGACGCTCCCGCTC